GAAATTTTATTGAGGTAAAATTTTCTCCTGTTATGAATAGCACAGTATATGATTTTTTCCTTTACTAAACTTATTTTGTTACTGCATATTTTAGATTACGAGAAATAAGCCAGTTATAAAAACAGTGAAAGGAACAAGAAAGTGTAATTGTAGGCAGGAATTAGTTACTCGCAATTTAGGAAATGGTAGATTCCAAATGATGCAACAATCTGTGTGTTCAGAATGTCCAAATGTGAAATTGGTTAATGAGGAACGTATATTGGAAGTAGAAGTTGAACCAGGAATGGTAGATAATCAAGAAACTAAATTTACTGCAGAAGGAGAACCACATATTGATGGAGAACCAGGAGATCTTATAATAAAGTGAGTAATTCTGAATGTATATATATTCACACACACATACGCATACATATGCATGTACATACACGTGCGTGCACGTATGCACACGTATACACACACACACACACACACACACACACACACACACACACACAAATATGTGTAAATATGTGTAAATAATATGTGTAAATAATTAAAACAAAGATTATCTTAAGTAGAAGTAAAAATCAAAATAAATTGGAATTGTAGAATAAATTTTTTCATATGTATCTTTACATCCAAAAAAGCAATTTACAAAATTAATCGGACACGCAAATACTTGATTTAAAATTCTGTTTTGATAAATTTTGTTCATTTTTGTTTATTACTAAGATTAATTATATTATTGTATGTATTATTATATTATTTTACTAATTGCGTTATTGATTTTAAAAGTCAAGTTTTTGCCAAATACGATTTAATCAAATATACATATATTCAGTTGATTTTTGAAATAATTTTTGTTTTAAATAACTTGAAAGAAGAATTTAATGTATTATTTTAATTTTTAGATGTAAAATCACTTCAAAGAGTACTTTTTTCTCGGTCTATGTTTCAGTCTATATAAGGCCGCTATTTAATTTGTACGTTTTTGTTGTATGACAAAATTTTCAAGCCTGTTGATTGACTATTCGAGGACCTCTCTGTCTTGCACATATTTGTCATATGACAAAAGCATACAAATAAAATAGTACCCTAAGTCAATACAATTATATATATTTACAATACAATTGTCTGTTATAGGATACAAACTATACCTCATCCTGTTTTCGAAAGAAAAGATGACGATTTATATACAAATGTTACGATATCTTTGCAAGATGCCCTATTAGGTTTCACAGTAGAAATAAAACATTTAGATGGTCATATAGTCATTATCCAAAGGGATAAAATTACTAAACATGGTGCTCGAATTCGGAAAAAAGGTGAAGGAATGCCTAATTATGATAATAACAATCTTCATGGCGCTTTATATGTTACGTTTGATATTGCATTCCCCGATAACGATTTTACAGATGAACAAAAAGAAGGTAAAATGTTCTGTATTAGTGCGTAAAATTTTATGCATTATATTATTACATATTATTAAAAAAATGGTTTTATTATATTTCAGATATAAGAAAATTATTGCAACAAAGTTCTGTAAATCGAATATACAACGGTATACATGGCAATTGAATATTTAAGTGCAGTATATGTACAAAGTGAGTGCAAAGTGAGGTTGGAATGTATGTCTTGATATAGTATGTTTGTTAAGAGCGATATTTTTGCTTCCATACTAAAGAATATCAAGAGAATTGGTAATCCAGTGATTGTACTGGATATATAAATTTGAGTACATAATTTTCTACACAAAATCAATAGCAAATATAATTTATTTAGATGCAAAAGACTGGTTAAACTAGTTCTTGTTGCCAATTATTTAAATTAATGTTTGATTGTTGCCAATTATTTGCCGACATCAGAAATAATTAAACAATTTATTTTGTAATTTAAGTTATATTGATTAAATTATATGAATAATATAGGAGAGATATGTGTGAGTTGATATGTGTGTGTGGATAGATTTTGCATTTAATATGAAATAAAAAAGACCACATATAAATTAATAAATTATTAATGATTGGCCATGTTTATATTATTATTAATAATATAAACTTAGCAAGCATTATATTGGCATAAACACAAGGTGAAATTTCTTTGCAATTGCAAAGAAATTTTGAATAATAACGTCAGTGAATATATAATAAGTATAATACCATAATAAGATTAACAAACATACATTTGTAGCCAATTTTTTAATTCAAATATATCTATGTATTTTAAGTGGCAATATCTTCTATATGTAATTTATTATAGTATAACTATAATCTATTTCAAATCATTACAAAGAAAGATGTGATTATTTTTCCCCAAAACAAAAACAAGAAAGTAAATCAGAAACACAAGCTATAGAATGTGTTCTAATATTTTATGAAATATATTGTCAGAGAGTAAGCTATTTTTTCCGGTATAAAATTTGCAGAAATATGTTAAAAATAATTGCAATGATTAAATGAGTATCACATATGATCT